TACAAAAGGTTTTAAACCCCCACACATCTTATCTACTAGAGCCTGGAAGGTTCCAGGAGCACCATGAAGACCAAAAGCTAACCGCTTGAATTGAAAATGTCCTCTGCCAGGAACTGAAAATGCGGTATATTTCCTACTTCCCTCTTCCAGAGGGACTTGCCAATATGCGGAGCGAACATCCAAACTCGATAAGTATTTTGCTTGCCCTAATTGATCTAATATCTCATGTATATAGGGAAGTGGGTACGCCGGTCTTTTAGATACAGCGTTTACCTTCCTGAAATCAACCACAAACCTCCACGATCCATCCGGTTTGGATACCATCAGGATTGGGGAACTCCATTCACTCTGACTAGGTTCAATAACACCAAGACTAAGCATTTGATCAAGTTCCTCATGGATTTTGTTTTGCATTACATGGCTCACCCGGTAATATTTTTGTCTAATTGGCGAAACCCCTTCATCTACCTCAATTTCATGGCTAATCAAATCTGTACAACCCAAGGGAATATCCTTGATACTATCGAAATAGCCCTTCACAACTTCACCCAATTGTTCTCGCTGTGTCATGGTTAAATCATCAGTGGTTTCAAGTATTGGTTTTTCCGACAAACTATTGCATAATGGTTGGCTTGAAAAATACCATTCCCCTTTTCTCAAGTCAGGCACCACACCCATCTGAACCCAAAAATTTGTTCCCAAAACTAAAGTGTGTCTCAGCTCAGGAACAATGAAAACATCCAGAAAGAAAACCCAGAAGAAGAACACGAAGGAGCACAGAATACGCATACTATTGATTTTGAGAAACTTTTGAAAAATAAGAAAAGAGGAGAAAACCAGCAGCCACTTAGACCGATCACCAGAAATTTTTCTGAAAAATCGACAGCAAATAAGAAAACGGAAAGCACACCGGTCCGTCCAAATAGTGGAATATCCAAAAAACTATCATAGTAAAAAGTAAATTATTATACATTTCAACAAAAACTGCATTTATAAATTCAAGTCAATTAGAAATAAGTAGTGTAGGTTCACTAAGTCGTAGAAAATAAAAATGGATCCGTACATTAGCGAATATGAAAATGAAACCTTTAAATCCCATATAATCTACTCTGTCGCAGAATACAACGTAATCATGGAAAGTCGTGGAAGTGAAATTAAAATATTGCAGATGAATATTAGGAGTATCCAGAAAAACTATGATGAGTTCATATTATTACTAAATCAATTCACTTCCGATTTTCAAATTATAGTTATAACAGAAACATTCAAAGTCCATGATACAAATATTTTCGAAATAGAGGGATATGATCTCATCTATAATAATGGTGCTTTGAACAAAAATGATGGAACTATCATGTACGTGGAAAGTGAACTTGATTATACTCATAAAATTATAAATATAGGAGAAATACGAGCCATCGAATTGCATATCATGGGCTTAAAAAATATTTATGTAACAGCTTTATATAGATCACCAAATAGTTCTCCATACATAATCAATTTTAAATTATTGGAATATCTACAGAATAGACCTAAATCTGATACACATATAATAACAGGAGATATCAATATCGATCTCTTAGAAGAATCGGATTATATAGAAGAATATAAAAATATATTAGACACCTATGGTTTCATGTCGTGTATAAATCAGTATACGCGTCCTATGGGTGAAACTTGCATTGATCATTTCTTCGTAAATAGTACTGTTGAAACCACTAATTCAATCGATTCATTCATTTTTAATTACGATTTAACAGATCATTACCCAATAGCTCTAACATTAAATAATTCAAACGCAATACAGGTGAAAGAAATTAATAAAAATGAAGGACATAAAAATTTCATAGAATATAAAAAACTAAAGGAAGATTTGAAAATGGAAAGATGGACCGAAGTTATGAACAATAAAGACATCGATAGTATGGTTGAGAAATTTATCCAGAAATTACAAGGCCACATTTTACAAAACACAAAAATAGTTAAGATACCAACAAAAAAAAGGAACAAAAAACCATGGATTACACCCGCGATAATGGAATCTATAAAAGAAAAAAGTAAATTATATATATCAATGAAAAAACAACCCGATAACATAAATTGGGAACAAAGATATAGAGTGTATAAAAATAGATTAAATCGTCTCATTCAAAAGTCTAAGAGATCGTATTTCAATAAATTAATTGACTCAAACAGCAATACCTCCAAGGAACTCTGGAAGTGCGTTAATACTATATGCAAAAAGGTTAAACCGGAAACAAAAATTGAGAGAATTAAAAGAATTAATAATGAAACAACTGTGGATAAAATAGAAATTGTTAATGAATTCAATAACTATTTCAGTGATTTAGGTAAAAACTATGCAGAAAAGATTCAATCTCCTCAGAACTTCTCAGATAATATACCAAATCTTGAGAATACCATGTATTTATTTCCAACAAGCGAAGAAGAAATTAAAAATACTATAAAATCGTTGAAAAATAGGAAATCTCCTGGACTAGATAATATTAGAGCAGAGATTCTCAAAGAATTGTCAGATGAACTCGCTAAACCTTCAACCCATATAACTAACGAATGCTTCAAGCAAGGATACTTCCCTGAACAACTAAAACTAGGACTCATTAAACCACTTTATAAAAATGGAGAAAAAACAGATGTCGGTAACTATAGACCTATCACGTTGACATCAAATATAAGTAAAATCATAGAAAAAATTTTAAAACAAAGAATTGTGAATTTTTTTAGCAAACACAAAATATTATCGGATAGCCAATACGGTTTCAGAGAAGGAAGATCCACTGGAGATGCAATATGTACATTAATATCTGATATATATGATGGACTCGACAAAAAAATTCCTACACTTTGTGTCTTCGTGGATCTCTCAAAGGCATTTGACACTGTGTGCCATGAAACACTATTGAAGAAGTTGAAGAATTTTGGAATTAGGGGCGTCTCTTATAACCTTATAAAAAGTTATTTAACACATAGGGAACAAAAAGTTGTTATCGATGGAATCATTAGTGGGACTAGAACTGTAACCTATGGAGTACCACAAGGTACTGTGCTAGGCCCACTACTTTTCACGGTCTACATCAACAGTCTGCTACATATGGAGACGAAGGGTAAGGTTATTAGTTTTGCTGATGATACAGCGATTTTATATAAAGCTGACAGTTGGGAATCCATGAAACAAATCGCAGAATCAGATCTGCAAAGAATAAAAGCCTGGTTTCAACTGAACAAGCTGACACTCAACATTTGTAAAACTAAGTACTTACCCTTTACCTCTTATAGATCTGGACTTCCTGAACTTGGCATATTGAATGTAGATGGTGAAACGAAAATTCCAGAATCGGAATCAATAAAATACTTAGGAATAATAATTGACAGACATTTGAAATGGGATCTACAAACAAAAGCAATAGTGAATAAGCTGAGACGATTCTTATCTAAATTTAAATATCTCAGTTGTTTCCTGGACATAAACCATCTTAAAACCCTGTACTTTTCTCTGATACATTCACAACTAAATTATGGTATTTTAGGTTGGGGGGGGAGTAAATGACTGTCACTTAGAGAGTGTGCATACTATTCAAAAATGGATACTGAGAATAATTTATAAGAAAAATATACATTTTCCAAGTGAGCAACTATTCGAAATTAGCAAAATTATGGACGTCAGAGAATTATTCTGCCAAACAATGCTCCAAAATATTCACAAAAAAAAAATTCAGTTGAGATCTGTAGATCATACATATAATACTAGGAATAAATTGTGCAATGTTAGTATACCTAGATGCGTAAAAACTATCGGGCAACGATGTTTTGATTATCTGGGACCAAAGGTGTTCAATCATGTTCCTATTGAACTAAGAAACATCGGAAAATTCAGTATATTCAAACTAAAAATTAAAAGATGGATTCATAGTATTCCTCGAATTTTCTTCCATGATTTAATAAACAATAAAAAATAAAAATAAAATAAAAATGTATATCTGCTTACTTCCATCCATTTAATTATCATCATAAATATAATACAATATATCAATATAATTATACAAAATCATCTTACACACTTATACCTACTAGTTTTGTTGTACTCACCTCATAGTTAAATAGTATAGATCTTAATTATATGTATGTTACCTATAAACTTGTGAATAATGTTCACGAATCACAAAGTCTCCCAAAATAAACATATTTATAAATGGATATAGTCAGAATTTTCACGTACAAGCTGTCTGCACAGGTTCTGTGATTTTCTTGGTTTATTTACATTTATTAATGTTGTATATTATGGTTTTGTATCGTATGATGAAATATTATTGTGAAAAGTTATTATTAATATAAAAAATTATATATACCATGTAAACCTGTAAAACTATTTTTATGAATTCGTAAATAAACTTATTATTATTATTATATTATTATTATTATTATCAAAAATATCCGTTTTATGTTTCAACTTAATTGGAACAGTCAGTTTCCCAATGCAAGTGACTTCGGTGTCATGAGCAACTGTACAACTGGAGATGTTAACCCGTTCCAAGTTGAAACCCAAATTTTCCAAAATACCTAACCCATGGTGATTCATAAAAAAACTGTTGGCCCCACTATCTAACAATCCATGTAGTTCAACATCATAAATAGAAACTTTGACATAAGGACATTCGTTACTTCCTGCCAGAGACAAAATATAATTTAAAATCGTTCTAACCTTTTCGGATGAAACAGATTCGGTGGTCGAAATGCTCCCAGAGTCTAGACTCCGACCAAGTTCTAAACTCCTGGTGAGTTTTTTGAAATAGAACATTTTGGACAGGTTTCAGTTGTGTAACCGAGTTGTCCACATTTAAAGCATTTGACAATTGTAGAAGTACACTGCCTAGCCAAATGTTGAGTGCTATTACAACGGTAACAAGTCTTGACTTTACAATCTTCATTAGAGTGACTACGTCCGTGACAATTAGAACATGAGATTGAGGAAACAGATCCTCTCAGATTACTTGGATTTCTATCCCTACTTGGATTTCTATCACTACTTGGATTTCTCTCCCTACTGGGATTTCTCTCCCTACTGGGATTTCGATCCCAACTATGATTTCTACCTCTACTGTGATTTCTAGCTCTACTCTGAATTCTATTTCTACTTTGATTTCTGACTCTGCTATGATTTCTATCCCTGCTATGATTTCTGTCCCTAAATTGAGGATTATCCTTAGAGAATCTAGGTTGGTACCTATCACTACTAGGAGCGCGACTTGTATTGGCATTTGAATAATTATTCCAAGGTTGATAGAGAGAGGGGGAACTTGATCTACCTGTCCAGTCCCTCTCATTTCCGCTAGTATCCACTATGGTAGCTTCATCCAAAAAGGTACTGGATCTACTTCCCCGGAAAGAAACTTCCCTCCTACTAGGCCGATGGTACGTTAAATCCCTCTCTACTGCACTTCTATCTGTCGAAGGTGGAACAAAATTCAACGTGGAGGTTCTAGCATCTTCTAATTTTCTACACAGTGTTATTAGATGTTGTTGGGATTGAACATCCACCAAAACTAATCTTTCTTGGAAAAAGGGCAACAAATTTTTCATAATTATTTTCAGACGTTTAGTTTCATCGACTGGAGTGGTTAATCGATTGAACAAATTATTCATGAAGGCTATAAAAATCCCTATAGATTCCGTTTCCCCTTGAGTTCGATGTTTGATTTGTTTCCATAATTTTTCATTATAATCCCTAGGAAGGAACTCATCTCTAAGCATAGTGCACAGAGCATGCCATTCCATTCACTCTAGATTTCACACTTCGATACCATATGAGTGCTGCCCCATCAAATAATTCAATGGCACTACGAAACACCTGCTCATAAGTAACCGACCTAGCAACACATAGTTCATTTATTCTTTCTATGAAAGCATTCACTCCTATACTATCAGTCTCTCCAGTAAATTGAACATTCCATTTGTTTATACAGGATGATTCACCAAAATTTGTGCATAACCGCTCAAATGCACTAGTCACATCAGTTGGTTGAGGTGCTGATACTGAGGGTGTTGTTCTGATGGGAGTAGATGTTAATCTACTCTCTCCAGGAGTAGAAGGGTCAGAAGGACATGTATTGCCTGACTTGAATTTTTTAGCTAATTTCTTGAAATCAGCCACCAGGCCCAATGTATAAGTTAAAAGTGTATTTCGTTTAACTGAATCATCTTTATCTTGAGGAGTAATATTTTTCAATCTATTTAAAATATGACATAGTTTGGTCTCTACCTTTTTGAGCCAACTTTGATTGACTTCCTCAGTAAATAGTGACGCCACAAATTTCAATTTCTCATCACAAATTTTGATCTCATCCTGTATAACGATTTCCAAATCAGACCTGAAACTTTTCCCTTCTTTTTTCAAAGCAATTAATTCCCTAAGAATTTTTATCAAATCTTTAAGAGTTAGAGATTCTTCAACATGGGCACCTCTAATTTTTAATTCAAATACCACCTCATCTTTCAATAACCTATCAATATGTAGGGTCAACATGGTAAAGGCTGTTCAAAAAAAGTTTCTAAATAATCAACTTAATTCAACAGATAACAGATAGGATACAAAAGTTGTCTCACCAATATTCGAAATTTTGTTATAAAATTTTTTTTTTGTTTTTTTTTCCTCTTCTCCAGCTGTTTTCCTGTCTGTCCAGGTTTTTGGAAGTAGTTCTATCAGCAACTCCTCTCCTGTCCTCACGCAGGTGCAACTCCAATCTCCTTGACACTCCAGAAACAAAGCGTCCGTCCTGCCCGGTGAATTCAAGAAGTACAAAGTCCAGCCTAAAATAATCAGTACAAATTGGTGGAGTATAGATTCAGGGTGCTACCCTCACCAACCCCTGAACAAAATCCTGGTCACGGCACCAAAATAGTTGTTACGACCTAAATGGTCGCAATCAATGGACCCCAGGTTCTATAAGGATTTTGCCCTGGAGAGTTGGTGCTAATAACACAAAATACACACACTCAAGTCATTTATTATGATTACCCACAAAATCCTGTTACATGGAGATAGCCAGGTACCTGTGTAAGTAAAGGTGGATTCAATAATAGTATGTTACTCACAATACTGTAACGAGTAAATCAAAATGGCGATAATAACTAGCCCATACAATTAATTGCTGAAGAGAATGTTCTCAACTTCTTTCAAAACTCTAGATAGTAATTATTTAGTGAATAAATGCGAAATGTATATAGCTGGTACAATAATTAATTGAGGAAGATAATGTACTCAACTTCTTTCGAAACCCCTGTCTATCCTTCACCCACCAGGATCGACACCCTGCTTCGGCCTCCAACGAGATATGCTTCTGATGAGTACTCTGCAAAGAAGCAGGAAACGAGCGGCTGCCAGACTTCGTTGGGTAAGATAAAAGGGTTAGGTTAGAACTACAGAAAACAGCTGGAGCTGGCTCAGCAATGAACCAAACTTTCTTCTAGAATTCAATCGTTGAGGGCATCGGGGTTCGGCCCGCGTAACAACCCGTAATGGTTCGGATAAATCTCTGAACTTCACCACCAAAATCAAATCCGTAATTAAACGAAGGGAATAAGGCTTCCAAAAGCCTATTCAATATTTGAAATATAGTTTCCTTTATAATCCGACATGTGAGTCGAGCACTCCAATCCAAATGTGCTCAATCAAAAAAAAAAACAACTTCGATTAGTGGTGAATTCGACGAAAGCTATATCTTGACAAGCCCCCTTTCAGGAGTGTTCCCTGATTAAAAATCTTCGCCTCCACTGTTGCCATATGACGAGCATGAATATTATAATTTCAACTGACCATGAATTTAACACATTACTGAGCCACGAAACTGAAACCCCGGGGGGGGGTTAGTATCTACACCCATATCACCTTATAGTGGTGTATCCACAACCATTGTATCCCATCTGTATCCATAACTGGTCCAACAACCCTCAGTCAAGCACAATCAGCAAAAATACCAGTAACCACCAAATGTATATCACCTGCACTACACTTCGCAGCGGAATAAACATTCAGTGTCCACTCACCTTACCAGTAGAAAAGCCTAATTCATGCGAACGTCAAATGACAATCATGGATATGGATCATCGTAGATCAAGCCCGTTTGGGGTAGTGTCTCATAAAGAAAATCTTTGCACGAGATCGAATGGACTGTCTACGTCTCTAGCAGAGAGTAGAGTGCAGAGAAGAATAGGGTACAGGATAACTACACTGTTATTAATTGGTTACATATTTATATCATTTTCAGAAACGAATGTGAGAATCACTCAAATTCTAATCAGGGTGTAACAAGATGAAAAAATATTTTTCAATTATGTTTTCTTATTTTTTATCACTGTATAGTCAGCCATCCTTGAAGATGATGAAGCGATATATTTCACGATTCTACCAGGAAGTTTTGATTGGATCAGTTGATGAATGGAATAATTCGTAAAAAATATCAGTTTCACCAACAATCAACTCATTTCATCAACGACCTGAGCGGAATATAATATTATCATCTATTGAGTATGGAAATAAAGAAAAATGCGACCTGAAAACGCCTGGGCACCAGGCGTAAAGCTATCTCTGATTCAGGTACCAGTAAACAGTCCACGGTGATGTTGCACAAATACATGCATTTCAAACTGATTTTCTGTATAACAAAAAAAAAACAAATACCAGAAAAATATTTTTTTAATATTTATTGCTGATGAATTAAAATTTTCCAATCAAAACATGTATGTTCAAATAATTTTTGTATGATCTAAACTGGACAATCTTCTAGTCATCGTCATCGTTGAAAAGCATATTGACTAGATCTGCTTTATCACATTGTTCTCCTTCCAATCTTTGTGGACCTCCCCATCTAACGATTGTTGGTAAAACTCTCACTTTGGTTTTGGGATCCTTCCTGAATCCACATTCTGGATCTTTCCACCTTCAAATAAACAATCATCATCATACCATAATGAATTTTTTTCCTGTCAAATTTTTTAGATGTGAATTTCGAACAGTTCCAAGAGTTTGTTCGATTATTGAAACTCGAAATTGATGCCACCAACAGTGTTTTGATGATATTTTTCGAGAAATAATCGATTTCATCGAAATAAGTTATTCCTTTATAACCACTATGACTCATTTCCATATTCGATAACCAAATCGAAATTGAAATGACAAGATATTCTTCAACTTATATACAGGGTGATTCACATAACAAACCGACATAGGACAGGGGCATGTAGGGGGTCCCAGAATATGGCAATTCAACGCAACTTACCTCTATACCAAGTTGCTTCCCTAAGGAGTTATAGGCATAGCACTGACAGCATGTCAACTTGCTCGTTCAAAGCCTATATCTCCTTAGGGAAGCAACTTGGTATAGAGGTAAGTTGCGTTAAATTGCCATATTCTGGGACCCTCTATATGACTCTGTTCTATGTCGGTTCTTATGTGAATCACCCTGTTAATGCCTAATGCTTTCACGTATTGCCGACAAGCAGCGTTACTTCACATATGATACGCCGTTTGCCTGATAGATCCAGGCATTATCTGTAATGACGAATGATTCATTCAGGTCGAGACAGTTTGTTTCTCCGGAAAATATACTTCCTAGGAAGTAGGTTCATTCACGCTAAGTTAGGTCAGATTGTTAAGGAAAAGTGGTCCGTTTCTTTCTTTGGTTATGCCATGAGGATATTTCTCTCCTCATCAAATCGGTGAACAGAGTAACGACTGGAAACGCTGTTACGCTGTTTCTCTGTGATACGTAAAATGACTTCAGCATTTCAGGAATTGATTGATTTCGACCTATACACCCAAAAAGTATCTCTCATCTCAGCAGAATATTCGAAATCAGATGCTTAGTTGGGTGTCGAACACTTCCTTTTGGGTGTCCCAAGTTAAACTCATTTATCTTCGACATTCGATTAAAAAAATTGGAACAACAGATACAATTTTTTCTTGTTTCGTCGTGGAGATACTTGTTCTCAATATTTGGCGTGTTTAAGTTCAGATACATTCTTGGTTGAGATTTTTTATCTCAGTTGAAATGATACCCAGCAAATTGTGAGTGGGTGATGACTTTCTTCTCGGCAATATAAACAATTCGTTTCAATAAAGTTGACTTTAAAAAAGTTCTCACTGAATTTCGAATCGCTAGGTTTCGTTTCAACAAAGATATAATATAAAAACAAAAAATTCATCCAAACTCCAACACCCTGTAGGTATGATGAAAACAAAAATCTCCACGATGAAACAAGAAATTATGTTAATATAATTTGAAATTTTGCTATAGATTGTCAGATTCAGATGACTTGAGCCCTGTGTATCATCTTATTGAAAATGAAGAGGAGGAATGAAATTAAAGATCACAAGTAACCTGTTATGTATTTCACGCAATTCGAATAAATGTGATTTCATAAAAAATTGTCCTTGCTAGTAACCTCCACATAGTGAAACGAGTCATCAAAACTGAGGGAGACTTAGTTGTACTTTTTACGAAGAAACATGCTGTATATCCTTGATGTTCACGATTCCTCATTCATTTCATATAACAAATTTTGTTGACAATATTCTTCGGATCTCAATTCAACTGATTTGATTCATTTTCTCCTTATGGGAAATAATCACTTATAGAGCATATTGAAAACACGTCTCAAGCCTAAAATTCTGTATTGGATCTCAAGTATACTGCATTTCTGATGAACTGGATATCTTTTACGAAGCAACTTTGATGATAGAATGATCGATGACTTGCAACATATTGATGTTTGATACAGTTTCCATCGTATTCGTTCAATATAACCTCCAGAAATTCGATTCCAACACATTCCTCCTCTTCCTGCCATCCCTACGTACGCACGATGTTTCCCGATAATCAAGGGAATTTTCTCTCGTGCGCTCCAAGAGATAAAAAAAATCAAAATTCCTCCACCTGACTCTTTTCTCACTCATTTCAATTGACATGAATATTCATTGAACCAAATGAAATAGACCAACATATCTGTGGCATGAATATATTTGTAGAAAATCAGGAGTGAATGCATATGTGAATGAAAATTATGGATATTTCCTATTAGGAAAGCATATAATTATTTTGAGACAAGCATACGATCAGGAATCATCTAATCAATTGATGTGCCAGTGAGTAGGTACTTCTGACAAGATTGCATTTCGAAGGATTTCATGAATAGATCTAGATATTGCATTTTCTCGAATCGAATCAAATGAAATAATCAAATCTGGTGATATACTCACGTTGGCTTATCTCCCACTGCTACCTTTACAAAATGTGACTGTGGATCTGACTTTTCTAGTTCTTCATCAATAACAGGCCATGCTGAAAAACAAATATACCATATTGTTATCATATTCCAATCGTAAGATAATGAGTTTGGATGCTTTTTCCCCTTGTCAAATTCATGATCGAACTTATTTTAACCCATTCTTCGTGGAATTTTAATTTTGTTCATGCAGTGCACACCAATCAACCAACCCATCATGAATATTCGATGAATAATTGGAATCAGTAACTTATTCGAGATATAATGATCAAATGTGTGAAACACCACCACTCGATACTGCTGGTGAACAATATTAGAAGTAGTATCGTGAGATCCACGAACATAGCTGAGTTAGACAGGAAGAAAATATTTCACTTCACTTTGAGCAATATGAACTTTTACCAAAGAATAGCTGAATTAGGAAAGGAAAGAAACTATCATCCAGCTGATATCAGGCAGGTTTTCTACCAATTGATCATATGAAATATAGAAATCTTGGCAATAAGGTTGATTGAATGGTAGATCTGGATTGGTATACCTTGCATTATTAGCATTGTATCGTATATACTGTGATCAAGATTCAACTTTAAATCTTTACTGTCTCACTGACATAGTCAATGTCGAATGAATATACTGGTTATTCTGTTATTTATGAACTCATACCTCTTTTGCAATAAGTACAGAAGGTGTCTCCATCAGGTCCTGGAGTACTAGAAAACAGTACATGAACCTTCTGACCCTGGCTATCGAAGGTTTTGAAGAATTCCAGGAATGCGTTGTACCCTTCTACGTAATGTTTCTGAACCATTTTGGACTTTTGGAAACAAGAATAGTGTCGACTGTAGTTGAAAAGTCGTTTAATTTGACGATTATCAGATATATATATACAACCTGCTTGCTCAGTGTATCATTGACGATGACAGACAATACATAATGGAGCTTCATCAAAATGTTTATATATATATTTATATCTCACCATATAAATTTTTTTGCTATTCACATGACTTGCAATTTGAAATTTGCTGAATGATGATAGACGATATGTTTTCGTGTGATTGGTAGATACATGGGCGTATCCTCTGGGCGAAACAGGGAATATATCAATGCGGCATGAGGAGTAGGAGTGATTCATTATACAGGGTGTTTCATTGAGACGGGTAAATAATTCAACTGTGGATAGGGGTCACTAGGGTGATTTCAAAAAACCCATGGTTAATGGGTCTTCGACTTCTTATAACCGGGATACAGGATGTTTCATCAATTTTGTCCATATATTCATTGTCTCATAACTTTCCCACCAACCTGTATATATTTTTAAAAATTGGTACACTTGCTCAATCTATCCTGTGGAATTGATTGAAGCAATAACAAGAGATAAAATCTAGGTCCGGCTTCACTTAAAATTTACAAATTCTTTCTGCCAGAAAACAACAACGATACATTCGAATTTCTCATTTTTTTTGCCATATCTGAAAAAAACATCTGAATTTCTATTCAACGATGTGCTTTTTATTCATGCACAGACGATTTTAACTATTCATATTATGTGCTCAAATAGTTATTCTTGTATCTAGAGCGCGAAATGATTCTTTGGTGATCGAGATCTGATTTTTTTAACGAGGCGTAGCCGAGTTGAAAAATTGTCGAGATGACCAAAGAATTTTGCGCTCGAGTTGCAAACAATATTTCTTCTACAAACATCAAGAAATAAGTTCTGAAGTGAAAATATGCTTAGCTTGATAAAAAAATAGTGATGAACTGGCTTAAAAGGCCTCCCCCTATCCTCCCTTGGTACTCACGATGTTCCACGAACATAATACGAATTTTCTTTCGTGCGCTTCAAGAGATGAAACAAAGTTATTGTTCAACATTCAGAAATGAATGATTTCTTAGATGTTTGCCCGATTGAGGACCATAAAGTTGGAATATAAATATCTCATATATTTTACATAACAATGCGCGAAGTAAGTACTTCGCGCACTGTTTTACTTCGCGCATTGTTTTGTGCAAGGTATCTTGGTAACATAGGAAACTGAAAAAAAGTGTCACTTCGCAATTTGTTATCAATGCGCGAACCTTGTCATTTTTTGACGTTTGTAGAAAAATATTATTTTTGCTCATTTTGGGGTACAAAATTGGAATCAGACGAGATTGATTAATTTTTTTGACTTCCTATTCAGTATACGTGAGTATTACATCTAGAAGGAGTATTTCATATCGTTCTTTGTTCCAGATTTAGTTGCTGGTCATCAAAACTATACAGGGCTTTTTACGATAAGCGTTAATTTGATGTTTCTGGCAAACTAGGCAACGGATAAATCTGAAAATTCGAATTTATTCATAAATTAACATGATCCACACGTCTGAAATATTTGAAACAATCTGGCGTTGCTGCTTCTACTGGAGAGTAGCAGTAACTTTGATTTTTCAAATGGAACACCCTGGATGCTCCCTGAAGAGCTGATTTGATCGATTCACACAGTTTGGGGTATAGTGGGACTAATAACTCAGATATCTAGAGTGAGAAAAATCGAGATGTTTCAACTTCAGGATCATCCTGCGAAAATATTTATTATTGATCAAAACGGCTTTTATGTCCCTATCTTACTATTGACATCTAATCGAAACAAATACAGGATGGTTCATAATTCAGATTCCTGCACCACCCTGTATCTGTTACAATTGAATATCGAATGGAAAGTTGAGATAGGGACATTGAAGCCGTTTTGACCATGCAATAATGAATAGTTTCAACACAAAACATTTCTAAAGTTAAAACATGTCGATTTTACATCCTATATCTCAGTTTACAGTTCTGCTAGACCTTGAATGTTTGGAATCGATGAACTCTGCTGTTCAGCAAGAATCCAAGAATGTAATGAAATACAGGGTGTCCTATTTGAAAAATCGAAGTTGCTGCTACTTTCTAGTAAGAGCGGCAAGTCCGGATCGTTTCAAATATTTCAACGTCAAATTAACGCTTTTTATGAAGAGCCCTGTATATTTTTGATGACGGCCCTGCGACTAAGTCTGGAACAAAGAACGATATGTAATACTCCTTCTGAATGTAATACTCACGTATACTGAATAGGAAGTTATAAAATTAATAAATCTCGTCTGATTCCAATTTTGTACCCCAAAATGGGCAAAAATAATATTTGGAGCACATAAAATGAATAGTTGAAATCGTCTGTGCACGAATGAAAAGCACATCGTTGAATAGAAATTTTGATGTTCTCCTCAGATATGGCAGGAGAATGAGAAATACGAATGTAGAGGGAGTTGTTTTCTGGCAGAAAGAATTTGTGAATTTTAAGTGAAGCTGGACCTGGATTTTATCTTTTGTTGTTGCCTCAATCAATTCCACAGGATAAATTGAGCAAGTGTACCAATTTTTAAAAATATATACAGGTTGGTTGGAAAGTTATGAGACAATGAAGATATGGACAAAATTGATGAAACATCCTGTATCTCGGTTATTAGAAGTCGAAGACCCATCAACAATGGGTTTTTCGAAATCACCCCAGTGACCCCTATCCACAGTTGAATTATTCACCTTTCCCAATGAAACACCCTGTATAAAATCGATTCGGGATCGTCATTTCTCTGATTGATAGTAATTATCCATTTAAGTTTGTGTGTGCTTTGAAGTCGATTCATAATGACAGCCACAAAAATACTGGTTCTCGTGAAATATCGTGAAACTGCTAGAACCGAACCAAGGACGAAGAATGAATTCGCCAACATTTAATTGTGGAGTTTCAATACTACGACAATAATAGGCCATTGAAGAATCATTGGGTGAGCACTGGCCTATCTTGCGCTTCCCCTTTGATCGTTTTTTGAACACAAAGGACAATTAGGACGTATGACACCAGGTTTACCGCAACCAAAACAATAGGCACCCTATTGCGCCGATTTTTCTCTCTGAAATTACGATTATCTGACTGAACATTATTTTCCTGCATAACAGCAACCTGCCTATCAGTATTATTACTTGAAAATTCTCTCTGAGAATTATTATTGTTAAAATTTCTATGTCCATAACTTCTACTATTACCAACGGTAATTATTATTATCAGAATATCTCTCATTCCTAATCTTGATACTAGAATCAACATTTGAGCTGGTACTTGGATTATTATTAATGATATTACTAGAATTGCAACAACATTGATGACCAGAATTCACCGAGGAATGATAAGCTAGACCTGGTTCAGGTGTAGAAATATTTCGTTTAGGTGGAGGTTGATATCTGGCTTGAACTACGTTTGCATCCTCTGAAGCTCTACATATTTCCAAAAGTTGGTTCATGTTGTCGATCGACTGCAATGCCAAGTGTGACTGATAACGAGGTAAAATATTCTTCCTGATGATTTTCAATTTTTTTTCTCGGGTGGGACATCTATCAAGCAACTAAACAAATTCTCCATCAGAGATAAATAAACTACAATTTGTTCATCATGACCTTGAGTTCTATGACGGATTTTCTTCCCAAAGTTGATCATCATAATCTGATGGCGAAGAGTCTCTCTTAAAGACGTCTACTAATGAATCCAAAGAGTTAAAACGTTTTTGTCGAGACTGAGATCTGAACCATTCTCGCGCAATACCACCAAATAAATCTGAAGATGATTGAAACAAATCCTGTTTTGTACAATCACGTGCAGTACGTAACTCATCAACACGGTGTAAAAATGACCTAAGGGAACCATTCCTAACAGTTCCATCAAAAGTAATACCTCATTTGTAAACTGGTACTGATCTACTAGCAACAGTGTTTACTGACAGTGCTTGAGCCGAGTTTTGTTGGTTCACTATTTGTCTCTTCAAATATTGATCCTGAATTTCAGTTGAATCTTCCTCAAGAGAACTAACTAAGATGATATCATCTCCCCGAAAATTTACAACTTCAATTCATGAATTTATGGAAAAATGTAATATGCGGTTTTCTGTAATTGGGTTGTTAGTTCAACCTGTTCATCTTGAAAATCAAAATCTGGTATCACATACTGGACATCAGGTCTAGCTAAATCTTGTCTCAACTCTCTTCCCAAAAATATACTCTTTTGATCAGTGTCAGCCCTGTCTACCGCAACACCCCGTATACGTAATTCGTAATTCTATTCTCTAGTCCTCAGATGATTTGAATCTATATTGTTATTAGCCTCCATCATAAGGTTGAAAATTTTTTTCAAAATTTACAAAAATGTGCTGTCAAATCAGTCACCCAGGAGAACACCCTGTATGTAATCCACGAGAAAAGGTACTAAATCTCGGGAGAGAATTTAGCAGAACTCAATGAATAGGAATAACTTACAATACAGTAAATTAATCAATGCAGCTCACTTCGGAATACAACTCAGAATCACCCAGTACAATCAACACAGGAATTCTCAATGAATCACTTACCAAAAATTCAAAAATTCAAGTACTTACTCAAAATACAAACTTCCTCATGTAAATGGATTATCAACCAGCATAAAATAATTTAGTTCACCCTGTATATATATACTCACCAGTGCCAAAAAAATATTGCTCTCAGAAGATTATGCAAAAATATTGTGTTGGGATTATCATCCGCTTTTGAACTCCAAATATAAGAAATAATCAGAAATATAACATTTCTAATGCAATTTTATTTAATTTGATTGACAATATTCGAAAAACAAAACTTTTACATAGCAACAGTATGAAATACTGAATGTTTGATATAGACAATGCTTCATACATTAGATAGAGCTCAAACATTCCCCCCACCTTGAAATGTTTTTTCAATATAAACAATAAATCAAATGAAGAAACAAT